GGGTGGGAGGGGTTCTCGCCTCCGCCAATCTCACGGGTGGGTGCCGAGGGCCGCGCGGAGGTGGCCGGACCAGACGCGAGGCCTCCGCCCTGTCCTGCACCCCCTGCAGCGCAGCGTGATCTTATCGGCACCGACCCTCACCCCCCGCATCGAATGTTCTACGAGTCCCGTGCGTGTTCCCGTTCCCTCCATCCGTACTGCTTAGCCTCAGGCCCCCCGTCACGTCCCATCGGGATCGTCGCAGCCGCCTCCTAACTGGTCTCCCAGCCCCGTGTGGCCCCGTGATCCGCGTGGACGCACAGCCACCTGTGCGATCGAATCATGGGATGACCCTTTTCGGAACATACCAGGGCTTTTTAACGCCAGTACTCAATCTTGGTGAGGGTGCGGTGTGAGGCACTCCCGTTCTGCTGATAGGTAGAACCCTCTTGGTAAACAATTTGGCATTGTGTATCAAATGTCTTAAGATATGCATGCCCACTGACCCAGTATTATCCCCTGTCAAGAAATGTTAGAAATGAGGACAAATATTTATGAGAAATGATAACTGTTGCATGTTTATTATTGTAAAAAGCTGGAAACTTAAGGACGCAAAACAGAAGACAAATAAATTATGGTCCATCCATATGATGGAGAGTTATTTAGTAATTAAAAATTATATTACTAAAAGTAACGACGTGAGAAAATGTTCATGAGATAATGTTAAATGAAAAAGCAAGATACAGAACTGCTTACAGTATTACTCTAATTTTGTTGATACTATGTCTCTGTATAGGAAGAAGACTGGAAAAAAATAACTCAATATTATCAGTAATTATCACCAGAATAATTTTTTACTTTTTCTTTAAACATTACAGTATTTTCTAAATATTTTACCAATAAGTAAGTTGTACTTACAAATTTAGGGGGAAAATGCTTATAAAAGGTCAACTGAATCACCCATATCTTTTTGAAAAAAGTTCACTTTCAAAAGCTTGAAAAAGAGCTTGAGATCGTGAAAAGGTTAGGGTTTGGAACCCAGAGTTCTGGATCTGAAGTCTCCTTTTCTTACTGTT